GAAGAGGAGGTGGGGGAGGGGAAGGTAGGAGCGATAGGAAAGGTCAATCGAGATGGGAGGAGTGGCAGTAGAGAGGAGGAGGTGGGTGCCGGAGATGGAGGGTAAGAATCGGCATCGCGGTGGAGTGGGTGTCGGAGTGGGGAATGACAGACTGACCCCAGAGGTTGAGGGAGGGAATGCTAGCGGAGGTTGAGAAGTTGGGAATTGAGGAATGGAGTCGGTAAAGCTAGGGTTTTTTTACCCAGATATTTGGGTTTTGGGTTAGTTAGTGGTTACAGGTTTTGATATATAAATGAATCTTAATCTTTATATTAATTGAATTACGGATATCCGTATCTGAATCAGTATCCAAATCCGCAACTGAATCCTACACTCATATCCGTATCCGAATCCCAATCCAAAAAAATCAAAACCAGATCCGTATTCGATTCCTACACTTATATCCGTATCTGAATCCGTATCCAAAAAAACTAAAACCAGATCCATATCCGAAACCGTATCCGCCTGGTTTTAAAAATAGCTTACCATATCCGCATTTATTCGGATACAGATGCGGATCGGTTCGGATAAAACTGAACTGTTTGGCACCCCTAATTAAGATCCATTTATATATCAAAACCTGTAACCACTAGCCAACCCAAAACCTAAATATCTGGGTAAAAAACCCTAGCTTTACCGACTCCATTCCTCAATTTCCAACTTCTCAACCTCCGCTATCACTCCCTCCCTCAACCTCTGGTGTCAGCTTGTCATTCCCCACTCCGACACTCGCTCCACCAAGATGCCGATTCTCGCCCTCCATCTCCGGCACCCGCCTCCCTCTCTGCTGCCACTCCTCCCCTCTCGCTCGACTTTCCCTCTCGCTCCCACCTTCCCCTCCCCCGACTCCTCTTCGCCAAACAAGACCCCCACCCTCCGATGCCACTCCTCCCCTCTTGCTCGACCTCCACAGACCTCCTCCTTTAGATCTGCCATCAGACCCCTCGTCGCTCGACCTCCACCATCGTCTTCTCCCTCCTCCTTTGCCCCTTCTTCGATGTGCTCCTCCACCAGCAAGACCAGCACGCCTAGTCCACCACCACCCATCCTCATTGATCCATCACCCTTGCTATTCCATAAGGTTGAAAAGAAACTCTAGTTTTACGTACGATGTTTTGTCAATTTGTGATTATAAGTATCATATTCTAGTTAAATTTTGCCTTGATGTGTTAGATTGAAACTCTTTTGTCAATTTGTGATTATAAGTATCATATTCTAGTTAAATTTTGCCTTGATGTGTTAGATTGAAACTCTATAGAACTAATTATGTGTATTCTAGTTAAATTTTGCCTTGATGTGTTAGATTGAAACTCTATAGAACTAATTATGTGGCTTTATTTATTTGTATTTAGTGTTTGTTTGAAATAATCCTGATTATATGTGTGAATGTGGGGGCCACACCCACGATGCGGAGGCAATGCACCACGAGCACAGGCGCGGAGGCAAAGCACGTGGGGACCACACCCACGAGCGCGGAGGCAAAGGCAGAGCCCAGGTGCGGGTGCGGCCCATTCAAGATATTTCCAAGATCTCCTATAAATACCCATGCGTCGGCTAGGGTTTCTGTAGAGAGGAGAAAAAGGAGGGTTTTAGCGACTACAAAAAGGAGAGCCTTTTCAGATCTAGATTTGAGATCTTGAGGAGAGAAAAAGAGAAAGCTTGAAGGGATTTTACAAGAGAGATGTCAGTTTCTTTTGGGTAAAAATCAAAGTTTCTTCTTTGGGACGAGCTTGTGGGTTGTACAAGTTGTCAGTGTTCTCCTTCATAGTGAAATCTCCCCTCCCCCTTCCCCGTGGACGTAGACAAGTTTGCCGAATCACGTAAATCTCGTATCTTTACTATTTTCTGGGTGTTGACTATTGCTTGTAGGTTCCCTCGATAATTCAGTCCTATAGCTAATAAGAGGAAGAGTGTATATCTCATTTTGTTGAGATATTTCACTTCTGTTCTTGTTTCCTTCGCTAAACAGGAACATAGAGGTTGACTTGAGCTTTTGTGAAAACAAAAAGCTAGGCTTTCTCTTGGGTAATCGCTACTGTGGCGTGAGGGCGTGACTCTGCATCCAACAATATGTGAATTAAGTTGTTTTGAAATGATGATATTACATATCTAGATTGATCTTTTGACGCTTTGCTTTGTTGGTTATATCAACTGCTTAAATACTTTATAGCATTTCTAGGTACAGTTGATGATATTATATATATATAT